GCACGCAGCTCCACCTGACGATCCCTCAACTGCCCATGACGTCCAGCTACACCTGCGTCTTCCTGGAGCTGGACTGGAGCTGTCCCGCCAAGACCTGGTCGTTCGGGACGGTGTGCACCACGCCCGACTTCCACAAGCTGGGCATCTCCATGGGTACTGAGGGCTTCCGCACTGTCACCGTCGCTCTCAACTCCACTGAGACGGGAAAACTGTTCGTCACCAAGAATTTTACCTTTTACAACTGCTCCAACTTTCACAGGTGAGTTTTGAGATTGTCCTAGCCTCAAACGCTGTCTGGATTTAGTGAACAGTTTTCATTTTGCTGGGGGGGGGGGGTTCTTTTGAGTTGCTTTGTTAGTTTGTTTATTTCTTGCTTTTTGCTTTGTTGTTTTTTTTGTGATTTTTTTTTGGGGGGAAGGGGGGGGGTGGACTGTTTGATTTTTCCCCTTTTTATTCAACGTGGGAAGGAAATCTGGGTTAGCACAAACGACCACACTGAAAGAGATAACTAGTGTAAGGGGAATAACTCATGTATTGACACAAGTGCGCACGAGTGTAAGTGCGAGTTATATTCCTTGTATCTCCTGTTCTCGCTCACAGCTGCATTAGCTGCACCAACTCGAGCTTCGAGTGTGACTGGTGTGTCTATGACAACGGTTGCTTTGACGACACCAGGAACTGCCAGTCCCACATCGTGAGGGGAAAGAGTGTAAGTCTAATAGTCTTTATCTTTTTATTCTATTGCATTCTGCATTTTTAGTGAATGCATTGCCAGGCTCACTATGCGACTAATTTCTCATAGAATATTTATATACATACATATATATACATATACATGACACTATTTTTTACGTACACACTTGTCTATTAATTTTTAGAATGTGACATTTTTTTAAATGTAATTCGTAATGAGCATTTTTTAAAGAAAATTTGCAGTCTGAGATCTTTAGAACAAGACATAAGTCGCAACCTCAGAATTGTAAAGTTCTGTCTACCCAGTACCTATTTTTGAGAAATTCGACTTAATAAATCATTAGTTTCAAAATATGTCGACAAGGTATTCCGAGTGAAATTCTTTGAATATCTTGATAACGACTCAGAATAATTTTTACAGTTTTAACTTTGATTTCTGATCTCATGATCTTAATAACTCACAACGGCCAAAAATGTCTGATAAAACTTTATAATTCTGAGGATGGGAAGTGTGGAATAGTGTCCTTGATCCTAGTCTAAAGCTTTACTCTGTGACCTTTGTGGACAGAACCCCAAGCCAGGTCGACACGGGTCCCGGCACTGCCCACAGATTGACACCAGGATTACTAAGGACATTTATCTTCCCGTCGGAGTAAGGAAGACCATCTTGCTCAAAGGTTACAACATTCCAGATCTGCCTGTGAGTATTTTACTATGGGTTGACAATTTGTCTCTTATGAAGAAATAAGAAACACATAATTTTATTATATTATTATACTTTTAACTGGAGTTAAGAAACTTGAACGCTTAAAAAAAAAAAAAACTTTTTCTTACAGATAGGTCAATAACCATTGTGAAACAAGCTAAACAATTGAATTACAGTCAGAATTACTCTAATGGTCACCTGTATAAGACAATCACCTATAGAAATGGCCACTTCACATTTTCTACCTCGTGTACTTTTTTTTGCATTATAATGACATAGCCTAAGACATCCATTTGTCTAAGACTACAACTTGTCCCCTCGACAATGGATGGCCATCTTAGAGACAATTCTGACTGCATTTGTCAAACACAGTATTTTCAAAATTGAACATATTTGACAAAAGAAGAAAAATATTGGTGAAATGATTATTGCTCTGATAAACTTCAGGTAAATTAATAAGGTTGGAATAATTCCCCAGGCAGTGAAAAAGTATCAAAGTGGATTTTATTTTCTCCTTACGTAAAAGTTCTGTAAAAGTGCCAAGTCATCATTTGTTAGCAATTGGTTTTTGAAAAGTTGTTATGACATGCATTTGTCAAGCACCACAATTAAAGGCTCTTTTTTATTGATCTTTTCTTTCCTCAGAAAAACTATGAATGTATAATTGATACTGGCACTCAGAAACTGCCAGCCCCTGGCAAGAGACATGATGAGCAAAGTTTGACGTGTGATATTCCAGCAGTGAGTGGTCATCTCCATAATCAAAATCCTTACGTCAGGCTTATGTTACATTATTGCTTGTGATAACAGTGAATGTGATCTAGTCACATACTCTCAATTTCTGTAAGCAACTTGTTTTACTGAAACTCATTTCTGGTTTTGTGCCTCTTTGTCTTTATTACTGGGATATAATAGTTTTATTTGTCCCTTTGTTGGTAACTTCATTGTTTTGTTATAGGCGGACAAAAGGATTGTTTGTTTTTTTGCAGTATAACACTTGTGGGTTTTTTTATTTGATCATAATTACCCTATAATGTGTTTTACTGTCAAATAAGTTGTTTTTTTTCTTTAAAAAGTGTTTGTGATATGCTGTTTGATCTCATCAGTTCTAAAGACAAAGTAAAGGAAAGCTCAGGTCTATTTCAGCAACATGAGTTGAAAATGCAAAAAGGTCACATACTTCACAAAACAAATTGACTCTTTAGTGCGAGACTCTGCCATACACCATTTTACAAAGTGATATCTGACAGAGTTCTGCACCGAGCAGTCGAAATGAACATATTATATTCTTTTAGTGCTAAATTTGTTTGAAATGTGACTCATTCTCTCTCTCCGAATCTTTCACAGCTCGACTATGGAGAAAATAATGGCACATTGGAGGCAGACTTGACAGTCAGATGGGGAAAGAACTTCTTGCTTGAGAGCACATCAAGGCTTATTGGTATGACTTTTCCGTTTCTATTTCTCAACTAACTGCGTAACAAAGTTTGTTTACATAGTCTGGGAACAAATACAACCTTAACTAATGTGAATACCGCAACTTTTACCTGAGCTGAAAAGAATAAGCTCAGAATAAGGAGTGATTAACTAAAGTCAAAATTGATTAATGTTTCATTATGTGCTTATGATGTAAAAGTTACTTTTTTGTTTTTTTCTGTTTAGTGGCAATACATTTTACTTCCATTTTGTTTGGAAATCAGAGATTATTGAAGGCTGTCTTTTAAAGTTTTCACATTTGGTATCAGTGGTTTAAAGACTCTCAATTGTAAGGTCATGGATTCGAATCCCATCAGGGGCTCAAGGTTGTGTCCTTGGGAAAGGCATTTTACACAATTTTCCTCACCTCACCAAGGCAGGAATGGGTACCGGGTTATAGGCAGCAGATGATCTTGCCTGTTTTTTTGTGTTAGCATGTTTAATCTGTGACTTGCCCTGCATGCTTCCCAAGAAACTGAGAATGTTTCTAAAAAGTGTTCTTGGGTCTGCCAGGGTAATAATAGTTTTAAAGTGTATAGAGCATGCTGTTGAGTGTGAATATGGGTTATGATATAGGATTGCAAATATTATTACTATTGTTATTGTTATTGTTATTATTATTAATATTATTATGATTATGATTATTATTGTTATTATTGTTATTATTGTTATTATCGTTATTGTTATTGTTATTATTATTGCTATTATTTATTTTATTATTATTATTATTATTTGCAGTGACTTTGTACAAGTGTGATGTACTAGCTGCAAATGAATGCAGTCTGTGTGTCAATCTGAACTACACTCGACCCTATCTGGAATGTTTCTGGTGCCAGAATACGTGTCAGTACAAGACCAATTGTCAGCAGCACGCCAGTGTGACGTGTCCAGCACCAAAAATCAATTCGGTATGACATTTGTGTTGCGTTGTGTCCTATCAGTATCTTTTTGTGGCACAGTCAAATGTCCCCATCTTCTCAAAATGTCTTAGAAGTGAAGTTGCCACTAAACCAGTCTCAACGGAGTTGCGAAATTGTCTTGGCTTCAGACTTATTCTTCTTCCTCTGGTGTGTTAAGCAGTTGCAGTACAGAGCTAAAAGCCAGAGTTTGCTAGCAGCAATCTGTTTTGTAATTTTCATCCTTTTATGGAATGTGTCGAATCATGTTCATATTGTTGCTAGGTCTCTGACTCCAGCTGAGAATTTGTTGACACGAATGTGTAGGCTCACATAACTAATACTAAGTTGAGCAATGGATGAAACCAAAATTTGTGTGGATGGTTGGTTGGTGCTCTGGTGTGTTTTGCTCCTTCTTTCCTATCAAACGTCTTGTGTCCTTATCTTTCCTTCTTCTTTCCTATCAAACATCTATCTCCCTTATCTCCCCTTCTTCTTTCCTATCAAACGTCTTGTGTCCTTATCTCTCCTTCTTCTTTCCTATCAAACATCTATCTCCCTTATCTCCCCTTCTTCTTTCCTATCAAACATCTATCTCCCTTATCTCCCCTTCTTCTTTCCCATCAAACATCTATCTCCCTTATCTCTCCTTCTTCTTTCCTATCAAACATCTATCTCCCTTATCTCCCCTTCTTCTTTCCTGTCAAACGTCTTGTGTCCTTATCTCCCTCCTCCATTTTTGTGTTTGTTACTCTCTTGTAACACCTCTAATCTTCAGTACCTATATGACCTTATTGTGTTGCAAGTGCCGTAAAACTCTCACTAAAGCTAAACTTAATCAAAAATATTTTCTCATGTTTTTCTCTGTTGCAGGTGTGGCCATTGTCAGGACCAATCCAAGGAGGAACAAACGTCACAATTGAAGGAAGCAATTTAGGAGCAAAGTTTGAAGATATCGAAAAAGCTGTGACCATTGCCAATGTAGGATGCCTGCCATTCAGATCACTGTATTCTCCGTCAAAAAGGTATCTGTCTGACAGAAGAGTTTGTTCATAACTGTCTCCCTATTCTGTTGTTTCTATGGAGAGCATCATTTTCAATTTTTATTAACAAAGCTGCTTTTACCCTTTTTCCAATCCTGTTAGAATGGGAAATACTGACTACTTAGTGTAAGCCATACACCATTTTGAAAAGAGACGTACGACCGAGTCTGACACTGAGCAGTCAATACGTGTTACCCTCTTTTGGTTTGTTAACTTCCATTAAATTTTGAAAGTATATGTTATAGATGAGGAATCTCAACTTTGATAACGATCTATTTGAGGATAGATTTTATCACCCTTTTGATATCCCTGAGGGTTCATGAGAAGTAAATTCACATACGAACCCTCTTGTTATGTGTTTATTTGGGGTGGATCTGGATCCTGTTGAAATTTTATGTTTGTGAGTCTGTGAAAATCACAAACTAAAATCATGAAAGCAGAAATTCGTTATTGTGATTGTAATCTTTGTGTCATTGTTGTGTCATTGTTTCCCCCACTAGAATCGTGTGCCAGACCCGCTGGAGGGGACAGATCGCTGAAGGCCCTGTCATAGTCAGCCTAGATAAGGCCAGCAGCAAGTACCAATCGAATTTTCAGTACAGAGTAAGTTCATTTCCCATTATTACGGTGTACTCCATTTGAATTGTTTGACCTTATAGCCGTAAATAATTTTCTTTGATGTTTTCATTTTTCTTTCTTTTTTTTTATCTTGTTGATGGTTAAAAGTATTCACCAATTAAGTAAGCCCACTGGATTAAACTGTTTTGTAAATAATAAAAATAAATGATAACGGTGTGAATTTTGAAGATTTATATGTCATTTCAAAATGCAAGGACTGCAGAAGGGATGGAATTATTCTTTATTTTTTACTTATATTAATTAATCTGACAGTTTTTGAGTAAGAGCCATGATAGCCAAGTTTACACAGCTTTAATCTGATTTTTCAGAGCCCGAGAATTGAAAGCATTGAACCAACATTTGGTCCAAAGTCTGGAGGGTCTCGAATCACTGTTAAAGGCCAAGACATGGACACTGGTGGCCGTCATGAAGCTTCATTTGGAGACATACCATGTGTTGTTGACAGGTTGGTGATTTTATTCATTTCAAACTCAAAACTCCTAGATAGGGCCTTGTCATTCTAGTTTTCATCTCTAGTCACTCAATTGAAAAATATCTGACTTCACTGTTATCAGGAACAAAGCAGAATAAAAGAGGGGTGATATAACTGACAAAGATGAACTTGCCCTTGAAGCAAGAACTTAAAAGAATTACTTCTGTTTTGTTACAAAATGAAGGCTTCGTATCATGCAAAATAAAAAAGCCCAGACTGCATTGATATTCAACGACTCAGGAGGCTTCAGAGAGGTAAAAGTTTATCATGTTTCCGCTGACTAACAGACATCATGACGATAATTAGAACTAAAGGGTATTTTATTTTTTATGAATGATGACTGGCGTAGCAAACAAGCACATTGTGAAATGCCCACCTAGAACAGATTTTCAGGTCCAGAAACTTTTCCTGTGCACATATATTCTTTGTATTTAAAATATTAGTACTCAGATCTCCAGTTCCCACCAATTCTACTATCAGTGTGCAAGACTGTATAGCCTAAAGCATAATGATCTGTATGTGTAACCCCTCACATCATTTTGCCCTTGAGCTAGCTGTGTGGAGTTATATGACTTTCATGTGTTTGTTATTTCTGTTTTGCCTAACTTATAATGATCTACTGCCATCTCTCAACAGCACCAAGACCACCAACAGCTCCATAGAGTGCATCACATCCAAGGTGTGGCAGCCTGAGCCAAAGACACCCATCAAGGTCTTCTTTGACGAAAAAGAATACTCTGTGAACACTTTCTTCGTGTACAAGGAAGATCCAACAATCACAGGAATTGGACCTTTGAAAAGCATACTGGAGTAAGTGAAAGGGTTACAATGACGATAACTGAATTGTTGCAGCTTCATTTTTATAAGGCTTTTTTCATTAGTTTTTTTTAAGAAATATATGTCAAGTTGAAAATAAAGATCTGGAGTGAATGGAAAGTTGGTAAACATTAACAATGTTGATAATGAGCTAGCAAAAGATATTTGATGCTCATAGATTGAACTTGTTCACTTATTTCGACTGAAAATAAAAGGACAAGAGAGTAATCTGCTTTGATGAACATATTCTATGTCGAAACCGATCAAACCTGATTTACTTGAATTTTATTATTCAGTAAGAATTGTGTCTTATGCTGAGTTAGTGATGAGAGTTTCCACGCTAAACTTTTTTGTTAAATCCAGCAGGCTTTCTTAAAACTGAGAAGCTTTTAATTTATTTATAATAAGTTAACTGTAAAATCAGAACAAGATCGAAAAATAGTAACCTTGCTCAAAATTCTTGTACTAAATAGTTGCATTCATGTTGTATTCCTTTCAGAGGTGGACGCACTCTCACTGTGATGGGCACAGAGTTTCAGTACATTCAGGAACCCAAGATGTTTGCCTGGGTGCCAACACTCAGTGGGGAACAGTACCCCACCAACAGCACTGTAAGTAATCCACATGGAATTGTTTATTGCATGTTTGTTTCAAAGCAAGGCAATACAAGCTGTAGGTATGAAGGCATTAAGATTTGATTTACAGAATTTGCAAAGTAATGGTTTAGCTTTTCACCTTGAAAGTAAAAGATGAGGGCATGATTGCTGAGTATTAATTTGTTCAGATCTTCCACTTGTCTGGGTTTTTTTTTTTTTTTTTGTGTTCATGTTGGTGGTTTTGTGTTGCTGTTTTTGAGGGGAGGGGGAGTGTTGTTTTTAGGGGGAGGTTCTTATTTTAAGTAATATAGTGCATTAGTCATCTCATGTTTTTAAACAACAATTACCATTTTCACAGGTCTGCAAAGTGATGAACAACAATGTGATGAAATGTCCCTCCCCACCACTTGTTGATTCCCTCAAGAACATTATCCGCTCCAAACGATCTGAGCCCAAAGACCATAAAGTCCCACCAGTGAAAGTTGTCCAGCTTGGCTTCATCATGGATGGTGTTCTAGCTCTGCGGAACTTGTCCCACGTTCCAAAGATGAACTCCAAGTTGCAGTACTACCCAAACCCAAGAGTGTATAACTTCACTGAAGCAAATGGAATTAAAAAACTGAAAGGAGAGAACCTTATAATAGAGGTTTGTAGAATATTTCCGAGATCACTCAATTTTTTATCTTACTTTGGTGAAAGTTTTTACAGTGCACATGAAGAAGAGTGGAGAAAATGATGAAAAGAAAGAGCCACTTACATTTGGCTCTGTGAGTTTGGGACATCCTGACTTTGCAAAATTAAAGTCTCCCTCTTATCTTTTTTATTGTAAAAAAAAAAATGCAGTTGAAAAGGTCACCTGTTGTCGAAGAGAAAAGTGGTCTTATAAGACTGGTGATCATCTTACCCAGTGTCATTGTTATGTAAAAAATATGCAATGGAGGATATGGGAAGTGACCTTATGTTCAGGTGATTGTCTTATGCACATGTTCAACTGTGCATAGTATTTGTCAACATCAATTAGTCTGTGTGACTGTCTGACATATGGTATTTGAAATTACTAAGCCGTCTAACCAATCTCTTTTCCTCAGGGAGCAGACTTGAACATTGCAGCAGAAAAACCTGAGGTTTCTGTCACTATTGGCTCGGAGCCCTGCAATGTTAGCGTCTTCTACATCGACCAGATTGTCTGTAAGCTGCCCACATCCCAGCCAGAGGGTACTGTTGGCAACACTGGTGAAAAAGACAGGAAAAGTCTACCATATGTTCGGGTGAGGAGAGGGGAAGATGGATTTTCTATTTCTATAGTACTAAGGGAGAACATTTTTATTTGGGGAATTTTAAGAGATGGGAACATTTATGTTTGGACAGTGTTATAATCTTCTGGTGCCTTGGTCATGAGGCTCTTTATATATAAACCATTTTCAAATACCCACATGTAATACTGACTCCCATTGTAGTAAATCAAGTTATTTTGTATAAGAATTTAGAGCATACTTTTTGGGAAAACAACAGCTTGTGTTTGAAAATAAACCAAATAAGGACAACTGTAAACATTATATTTATTTCCAAACTAAATGGGTATCGTTCATCTTTCTTTTGCCTCAGGTGAAAATTAACAACTTGGAGTTTCTGGTTGGCCGTGTAGAGTATGATGTTCCAGAGACGTTCACGTTTCCAACAGAAGCAATTGCTGGCATCGCAGCTGGTGGAAGCTTCCTGCTTCTGATTATCATATTGATACTCATTATCTACCGACGTCAGAGCACAAAGGCTGAGAGAATCTACAGGAAGCTGCAGATTCAGCTTGACAATCTTGAAAGCAATGTTAGGAATGAGTGTAAACAAGGTAAGTTTGTCTTTGTATCTTAGGGTGTTTGTTTTAGTAAGCGTTTTACGGCACTTGCAACACAATTGCATCATATAAGTGCTGAAGATTGGAGGTGTTCCAAGAGAGTAACAAACACTTAAAAGAAGGAGGAGAGATGAGAATGATAGATGTTTGATAAGAAAGAAGGAGCAAACCACACCAGAGCTCCTGCCAACCACCCACTCTGAGGGTGTACTCATTTGCAGCCTTCCTCTTTGTGAAAATATGACTTGTATCCTTTTGTTTTGTTTTTGATTTTTATCTTAGTCATGTTTTTATTCATTTAGAGAGAATAGGAAATCCTTGAATACTTAACGCTAAATAGAAAATAAGCTTAAAAGCTGGCAGGGACCTCAAACCTTCAGAAAATATTAATATTGGGGAACTCAATATACTTTTTTACTGTTATACTGAATAACTATTCTTTGCATAGATTTTATGTGCCGTGGAAACTGGTTTTATAATGAAAAAAGCTCAAATAAGCAAAGCTCTAATAAGTGAAATAACATTACTTATGATGTGAACTACTATGTAAAATTTTGCTGAGACTGGGCAGCTTTTATAACTGTCGATACAATTCAAGTTGCCTGAAAATACTTATTTTCAGGATTCATTTCTGTTAGCACATTCTTTAATAGAAGCCTTCTTGTTCTCTACAGCCTTTGCCGAGTTGCAGACAGACATGACAGACCTCACTGGAGACTTGATATCTAGTGGCATTCCTTTCTGGGACTTCCATAGCTACACTTTCAAGGTCCTCTTTCCTGGAATGACTGACCACATTATCCTTCACCCTCCAATTGTGAGTAAAAATTTGCATATAACGTTAGATGGAATTTAACATTGCTTTATTACTTTTGTGCCTGTGCTTTCTAGATCATACTTTAATTTATCATTTAAACCAATACACCTTGTCAACAGTGTTGGGGTCACTACAGTCGGAACATGTCCATCTCTGCTCTCCCCCCCCCCCCCCCCTTTTCAGGATCCCTCCAAGAACTTGTCTGCTTATAGATTTAAAAAAATAATACTTACTAAATCTAATGGGTTATGTGAGTGCTCTTTTTGTAATTTTTCTCAACTGACAAATGACAAAAGTATTTGACTTTTTTACAAAAATTTTGCCGACAATATCCATTCCTATAGCAACTGCAGGGTATTTCTATCTGAATGTTCAACATGAAATATTATGCTCGATCTGTTTCAGCAGCTACACAATATTTTCACCTGTATTTTCATCATGAAATATATGCTAAATCTGTTTCAGCAAAAGAATGGAAGGTTCCAGTTCTCAGATCATGGTCTGCAGCTATTTCATCAACTCCTGAGCAAGAAAGTGTTTATGATCACGTTTATAAGGACTCTGGAGGAGCAGAGAGCATTCAGCATCAGAGACAGGTCAGTGTTTCTTGTAGGATCATTCTCTAACAGCATTTTCTTTGTTAATCCAGGAACTCTGTTATCTTAGTATCATGCTAGACAACAATATGATTGACAATAGTAAATAATGATAACTGCATTTATATAGAGATACAAACTATGTATAGGGCCTAATGCTTTATGCGCTTTAAAACTATTATTACCCTAGCAGACCCCAGAATACTCAGAAACATTTTCAGCTTCCTAGGAAGCATACAGTGCAAGCTGCTGATAAGTCCTCAGACACTAACAAAGGACAAGACCTTTCACAATCTATAGGCGGGTACCCTTTCCTACTTGTGTGAAGTGAGGAAAATTAGTGTAAAGTGCCTTTCCCAATGTTAGGCCTCTGATGGGTTTCATACCCATAACCTTTCAGTTACAAGTCCAACTGTCTAACCGTTAAATCCCCCTATGACAATGCCTCTTGAGTCTTCTACTAAGAATGGAGAGTAGTTCTTAGGTCCAGCCCACTTTCAAGTTCCTTCAAATGGGTTTGAAATTTATTGTTATTATTATTATTATTATTTGTATTATTATTATTCATCAAAGTTGGTTAAAACATCATATGACATGTGAGAAGTGTAATTCATTATCACAATCTAAAACTTCTGATTGTTTACAGATCTTTAATAAACTTTTCTTTTTATTTGCAGGGCAAATGTTGCCTCTCTGTTGATGATTGTCTACTTGAACAATATGGAGTATGCCACTGAGTAAGGAAACCATTTTACGCATCTACATATTGTGCATGATTTCATATTAAGTAATTATCATAGCATCAATTACTCATCCTGCATATTTTTTTGCAAGCTTGTTATCTCTCTCTACTTATTATGATGATTTGCGGTTTAGCATACAAAAGTCCTTAGTAAAGCATAGTATCATTGCTAGTAACTCAATTCATGCCTAAAGAAAAAGTATTTACTCTAGGCCTAGCGTATAAACATAGTATGTTCTTGTAATCACATAAAAATAATTTGGGGCTTCCCTGCCTCCCCCACCATCGTCTTCGTTCTTCATGCTCTTCCTTTGGTCTTTCCTATCCAATTGTATGCTTCTCTAATGACAAATCGGTCAACGATTTTTTTACTCTATCCGCTTTTATACCAATCTAACTTTGTTATCTAACTGTTGAACACAAAGCATCTCATAATCCTTGACCCGTCACAGCTAAATACGTCTCTTGATTTGATTTTTGTCAGTTGAATATGCTACTCGTATTGTCATTCTATTGTTATACTGAAACCTGCTTTAATATTTAATATCTATCACCTGGCAATGTCTTCCAGGAATGAAATTAAATATTTGACCTTCATTTGCAGCATACTCAAGTCTTTGCTGGTGGACCTAGTTCAGAAGTCTGTGGAGGGTCGCCATCCGAAGCTCATGCTGAGAAGGTAGGCCTGTTATGATTTTTGCTATTGTTAATTATTTAAGGAATAATAGAGTATACTTTTTCTAAAACCATAAAAAAACTGCATATTATGTAGTCATTGATTGTGCTTAGGATGTGGAGCTAAAGAAAACAAAATAGTAGTGAAATTAATTTCCATTCACTCCTTTTTATTCCCAGGACATTTATCGGCTTTACTTATTTTGTGTAAATTGTTCCCTCATGCGAGTTTTATTTCTGTCTTTTTCAGGTCTGAGTCAGTTGTTGAGAAGTTGTTGACAAATTGGCTGTCAATTTGCTTGTATAAATACCTCAGGGTAAGACATTTATGTTCTTTTCCATTTGATGAAGAAAATTATCAACAAATTTTAACTAGAAGAAATTACATATAAGCTTGTCCAAATTAAGGATTGATTATGTTCTATAGTTAGTTCATCCTTGTAGAAAAGGTATGTGTTACAAAGCACTATCAAATAAGTTAATGTATCTATAAAACAATTATCATTAGGTTTCTCCCAAAACACATTAATTTCCTTGATCTTCAAACTGGACTGTAAAACTAAAATGTTGAATAATTCAAAGAATCTTGAAAATGTACTTCTTCTGTTATTTGGATCATTAGATCTAAAAAAATGTAATGGTTTTTAGGGATAGGATGTCATTTTAAAATTTGACATTGTGTGTTTCAGGACTATGCAGGAGCATCTTTATTCATGCTGTACAAAGCAATCAAACTCCAAGCTGAGAAGGGTCCGGTGGACGCTGTCACTGGCGACGCACGCTACTCTCTCTCCGAAGACACTCTGCTGAGAGAGAAAATTGAGCCCAGAGTTCTTGTAAGTTTTTGTTCCTTTCAAGTTAATGTTTCCTTTGAAAAGTTAAGCACATCACTGTGTCAACTTATTGTTTGTCATGATTAAAAGTAGTTTTAGAAGGAGCTTGTTTAAAGGGAATGGAATCTCTTTAAGTTAAAAAGACATGGTTAAAAAAAGAATAAGTATTTTGAAAAATGTAAAACTTTTTGTCTCTTTGTGTTATGTTGAATTTTTACTCTATAGAATGGGCAATTACTGATGGATATCTTTTTTTCCATTTTCAGACTCTGAATGTGGAAAGCGGAGGAGAAATTGTCCAGTGTCGTATCCCAGATTGTGATACCATCACACAAACCAAGGAGAAAATTCTGGACCACATCTACAAAAATATTCCTTTCTCCCAAAGACCACATGTTCGAGATCTTGAATTGGGTATGTCTACATTGTTTCATCTTTTCCGATATGCAAACATAGTGTAAAAAGTAAAGCTATGAACTTATAGACCTTTTTTCCATTTCTGAGACACCGGAGAGGAAAAAGAAAAACGTTTTCGATAAGAAAGAAGTGACAATGTGGAAAACTCTATAGATCATACCTCTATTTCAAATATTGATAAACTGACGTCAATAGATAGTGCCAGTGGTAATTTTCACTTTTTGCAAGTAAGGTACAAGTTTTGTAGAGTGATGTACTGTGTTTGGGTTTTTTTAAGAATAGGAGCAAGAATGGAATAAATAGAAAATTTATATATGAAAGAGAAGACACAGAAAGTCTGCGTCTGCACGGATGATAACACCTATAATGACACATATGTTTCTGGGGACACTTCTTTAGAGAGCGATCCATCTCATCGTAATTCATCTATCACAACTTTTATTCGTAGTGTGCATGTGAGCATGTGATTGTTTTTGTTTTATTATACATTATATACATTGAGAAACATTAAAAAGCTATTATTGTGTGATATGATGTGACCAGGCTCAAACTGAATCAAGATGAGATTTCATATATCATTAATGATGCAAGAACTGCTCGTATGAAATCTTTTGTTTTATATGTTATTGAAAATATTATTTTTAATTCCAGAATGGCGCAATGGACCTACAGGCCCATTAACCCTCACTGATATTGACATAGCATCACAGAACAAAGATGGATGGAGACGTCTCAATACACTGTCATTTTACCGAGTGCACGACGGTGCTTACATGACCTTGCTTCACAGACAGCAAACCATGAAATCTATGAATGGTGAGCTTTGCATATATGACTGATTTGTGATGGATCATTTTTTTTCTTAACTCGCATCAATTCTGGTTGTTTCTTTTTACCTCATAGCTAAGATTAAATAGGCTTTTGAAAGAAATAGAATATATTTTTATGTGGTTCAACAAGAACAGTACCTGATTGATATCCTTAATGGGACATCGTTAGACTCTTATTTTATTTGGAAATCATTTTGGGATCCATTTCATCGTTTTGTTATTCCCATGTTTAACATATTTCTCAATCATGGGTGACCTAGCTTTTGAAGTGATATTTTGGTTTATTTGTGTAGCCATCAGTTTGAGTTCATTTGTTTTTGTTATGACCATCAACATTGGCGTTTTGTTTGTGATCATTGTACACCATATCCCTTTTTCTTCCTAGGTTCCCTTGATAACTCAGTGCTTTCCATAGGTTCTGTGTCACCAATACTCAAGAAAGACCAAGAGTCTGGCTTCAAAGAATGGCATCTGGTGAGGATTTACTCTCCTTAGTGAATACTTGAAACAGGATATGTGAATATGATACGATACCTTTCTTAATTATTTTTGTCAAAAGCAAAAAAATAACCAACATGCCAGTCAGATTGTGCTTCCATTTTCTTTTTTTTGAGAGAGAGATGACATTTATATTATGTAGAATATATATTTTGATATTAATTAAAATAACAGTGGGACAAAGTTGCTGTTAGAAAATGTTGGTAGTGAAATACTTGGTGCATGTCTATGCTTTATGACTGGTTTAACTTGACATTAGTGGAGTAGGCCCCCTAATCGTGTTTTGGTAACATAAAAAATATATTACAGTTCACTACATCTGTTGACTGGGTTGACTCTTTCTTGTGTCTTGTGCTCATGAGAATTGACTGTTCTGTTCTTGTTTTCTTTTGTTTTCTGCTTGGAAGAGAAGCACATAAACAAAACTAACAATATTCATATGGACTCTGATAAAAATTTAAAAATATAAAGATATGCAGAGAGGTAGAGAAAAGTGAGACATGTCAATGTTTAAGAGTACTTAATGACCCCTCTTTTTTTGTTTTTTTCCCAGGTCAAGCATGAGGACACTCCCGTCAAAGATGGAGGTGTGAAAATGATTTCAGAGATCTTCCTTACTCGGTTGCTTTCTACGAAGGTAAAAATCAGTTCTATCTTATGAAGAATGTCATATCGCAATGAAAAAGAAAACATGAGAGTATAAACCTAAAGAAATTCACTTATTGTTTTACCCCACGACTGACAGGTTCCTAAAATTCTTTATTTGTGGAAAGCAAAATTATGATACAAGACTGTGAGGTAAGCTGTTTATTTTCATTTTTTTAAAACTAAACCAAAAAAGAAAAAAAACTGTAAGGATGTGCAACAAACTTTCTAATTTATACTACGCTCATATTTATCCTGATTAATAAAACCAAGTTTATACTGTTTGATTATTTAGAAGGCCATTAAATAAATGTGAGAGATTTATTTTCAGTTGCAGTTGTATTATGTTTTGCCAGCAACAATAAGTTTCACACATTTCTTTATTGTCATATTGTATTTTTCTTTCCAGGGCACCTTGCAGAAGTATGTGGACGATTTCTTCAAAAATATGTTGAGTGCCTCCCCATACGTTCCCCCAGTCATCAAATATTTGTTTGATTTCTTGGATCACCAAGCTGATGTGTATGGCATCTCTGACCACGAGGTGGTGCACACATGGAAATGCAACAGGTGAAGGAATTTTTTTTTTTTTAATGTTTGGATGTTTTTGGTTATGTAAAAAGAAGAAGTGTGTTGATAAGATAATGATTTTTTAGTGCTAGGAATGTGCAAGACCAATGGACAGAAAGGAATGGTACCATTAAGTTTGGGCTATTGAGTGCACCTGTATATAATCTGCATCCATTAGATTTTTTTTAAATCTGTACTTTTTTCACAAATAAGTTGCATTGGTTTATAAGCCACAGCTGAGTATATTGGGACTAATTTTGTCAGATGTGTGAAATGAAAGGGGTATCGGTTTTAATTCGTCTTTTTGGAGTTTACTTTCATCTCTTGACAAGATATTTTACTTCAATATGATGAAATTCAAAACAGTAACGCGAGTTTTGTTCTGCACCTAGCTAGAATCTAGCTGCAGTTACAAGTTGCTCCACAGTTTGGGGGTTTTTTTTGGTGGGAGAGGGAGAGAGAGACGGCGAGAAAGAGAGTGGAGAGGGAGGGTGAGTTAGAGGAAGAGGGATGTAGAGAAATGATCGCTATTAGAACCATATGGTGTTCATTTTTTTTGTACTATTGTAAAACGCATTGAGCTTTATTATTTTTTTACTGGAAATGCGCAATATAAGTGAAAGTAATTAATATTATTATTATTGATTTTCAGCTTACCTTTGAGATTCTGGGTGAACATCATAAAGAACCCAGACTTTGTGTTTGATATAAACAAGCCAAGAATAGTGGACTCGTGCCTCAGTGTGGTTGCCCAGACTTTCATGGACAGTTGTTCCACATCAGAACATCGACTGGGCAAGGTTTGTGAGAAGCTCTAGGCTACTTGTCTAGGTTTTTCTGCTTTCTTTGGTATTTTTAAAATTATTAATGTTATTACTGTTCTGTTATTATTTTTCTTATATTATTATTGTTATTATTATTATTATTATTATTATTGAATCATTATTATTATTATTATTATTATTATTATTATTATTATTATTATTATTATTATTATTATTATTGTCATATCATTATCAATAGCATTACCATTATCATTATCATTGTAAGTACAGAATGAATAATAAAAAGTAGATGGAGAATAGAGTATTTGTGAATTGAAGTTTTGATGACATTATAAAAAGTGTGTATGACATTTCATCCTATTGGCACTCTTGGGCTTCTTCAGGGTTTAATCATTATCATCCTCATTATTATGTTCATAATCATCATCATCATTGTTGACAGCTCAAATATTTTTTTAAAAGACCAAAAATTTATGGAAACTATAGAATTTGAAAATTTATAATACTGAAAATAATAAACATCATCATCATTATCATCACTGCTGTAATGATTTGTTTGATTCAAACTTACTCACATTCCCAGCTGTTAAAAGAATGAAACACTTTTTTTCTCTCTCCTGAAAATTTTCGCTTTCTGGGCTTGCAGTACATTTGAACAGTTTGCAGATGATATAGAGTCTAATATTCATTGTGTCACACAAAGCAAGAGAAACAGAAAGAGATAAGGAGATCATTTTCGGTGAACAGGAACTGTATGAATCTCACACGCCAAGTTGACTGCTTAGTAACCCATCAAATTAGTTGTTTGTGAACCACAAAGTGCTTGTTGTACTTATTTTCACTTCTGAAATAGTACGTTGACTCTTTATGTGTGTTTCAGGATTCTCCGTCCAACAAGCTGCTCTTTGCCAAAGACATTTTGCATTATAGGAAACTGGTGGAGAAATACTTCACCGAAGTAAGAGAAATGCCCTCTCTAAACGAGCAGGAAATGAATGCCTTCCTTGCAGACATCTCAAGGGTAAATATAGCTTTATTTCATATCCCTCGGTGTGCATCACAACAATACATATTGATTTTATCTCTAGATTCTGATATTGATTACCTTTCCTCATGCAGCCTAAGCCTGTATTTGCATTTATTTGTAAATTTCAACAGTGCTTATAATTTATTTTGAATAGTACAAACAATCTGACAAAAAAAATCTACTTTTAAACTAAATGATGGGAATTTTGAATTTCATCCCTTTTACCGCTTAAATGGGAAACAAGGAATGTAACCTGCAGAAATAACTTGGTTGATGAATGTTTTTATCCAGTGTATATATATATGTACATTCAGGATTCCATTGACTGAGTTGATATTTCAGTACCTTACAGCTTCTCTAATAGTTGCAGGGAAAACAAAACAAAACAAAATTATAACATTGTTGACCCCAAGGACATTAAAGGTTTTAGTCTATTTAGTCTATTTAGTGCTTAATATTACTCGATTGAGAATGAAGCATTTTGCACAATTAGCAAAAATAAGTGAAGGCAAACAAAGGCACGTAAAGGAGAAAAATATAGCATCTTAATATATCTTGAGTTTTGAAGCAAGAGAAACATATTGATATTCATGAATTTGTAAACTGTATAAGCATATTGTTAAGAGAAAACAACTAATATGTTTTTTGTTGTTGTTTTTTTCTTTCCAGACCAGTCCAAAACTCTTCTACATCTCCAGTGCATTAGGAGAACTTTATAAATATGTCTCCAAATATAAAAATGAGGTACAGTATTGATTGCATTCTTTTTCTTCTGCTCGTCTAGTCTTCACATACACCAATACATTTTTTTGGTCTCTTCATTTATTATGGTTCTATGCTGGTTACTTTGTTTGCATTAACTATCACTGTGCCAAATGTCTTTAAATGAAAATAGGAGAAAGACTTTTCTCTTGAAGTTATAGATTCATTTATCTGTATTTGGATATAATTTTTTTTCCTCTCAGCTAATGAGCTGTTATAAATCTTTGTTTTGTTAGTAGCAGTGCTTTGATAACAAATTCCTGCTATAAAAATAAATACAGATTTGCTTTCTTGGGGTTTCTAAAAATTCAATAGGAAAACTAACTCCTGCAAATTTGGAAGGTTGAATTTGATATACGGTTACTCAATGTTATTGTCATTATTTTTTTTAAATTATTTTTATTTATATCTTCTCTAGGTTTGGGGGAGGGTGTTGTTTCTAATGACATGCAAGGGCTAGGTAGGCCAAAGACAGTGGAATTTTATGTCCTCACTGTGTGATTTTTGAGTGGCGTAAACATGAGAAAGTATAATCTATGATTTGTAATAAGATTCCTGTTGGTGTTTCAGCTGATGGAAGCTCTGGAGCAAGACAACCAGGCCAGTGCCTTGCAGCTGTCCTGTAAACTCGGCCATGTTGTTTCTTGTATGGAAGGACCGTCGGGCACTATGGCCTATGTATGATACCAGGAGGCTGGTCATAATGGACTTGAGCTTGACTGTTGCCTGAAAATGCTTCCTGTATTGTGATATTCATTGCTGAATATGAACAGCTTCCCTTGAAGGATGGTGCATAAAAATGCTGATCATCGGAGTACCAGTGCTCTCTGCTTATTCGGATTTTTTCAAACTGTGTTTTGTGAATTTGTGACACTGTCATGGTGATGCTCAAGGTAGCCTTTGGCCTATACTGATTCAGAGGTCAGAAATACCACATTGAGCAAATATTAAATTCATTGGCGCATTTTAACGGATATCAATTCGTGATAAACATTCACTAATGTGACCTCCTGGAAACAGATTTGTTCCTTGCTCAGTGGAAATGTTTTGTGTGATTGAAACTCTCTCAAAGAAGCAAAACGTGGTCGTCTGTCTTCAGTGTGAGACTTAACAGTATTAAACTTTAGCAAGCAAAAGATGTTCCCTTGTTGTGGTGAAAATCGCAGCAGAACATTAAATCTAAAGGCGATCATCTCAGTGCTCAAAGTCTGAGGATCTGTTTTCAATTGCAAAGACAGATTTTTTTTTTTGAAAGGTGGAATATCAGGACTTATGTAAAACGTAATGTATGGTATTTACTATTTGTTCTTGTTGTCCTCAGTTTAGCGTAAGTTATTCTGTGGTGCAATGAAACTCTGTGTACTGCCTTGTAAAAAACAGGTTTGATAGCTCATGTGTTTTCAAGTGGGCGAAAGTAAGGTGGACTCAAAGAATTCTGTGGACTTATTTCCTTGCTTTGAAAGTGAAATATGTGGCCTAGATGACGTTGAGATTTTGCTTGCTGTTGTTGAGCTGCAGTCAACAGAGACGCTTTTGTGCAAGTGCATGTCAGGGTCTGTAAGACTTGAACTCACTCTCATCAACAAAGACTTGGGCTTTGAAGACACTGCAAATCTGAAAACCTCAGAAAGTTAACAATCCCTTTGTCTTTCATTAACTTCATAGACCCTTTTCATATTATGTCAAAGCCATGTTTCACTCAACAGAGCAAAAGTGTGTCTTTGACTCAGACCAGATGGTTTTCTTTTTGAAGAAAAACATTTCCTCGACAAGCTGTTCAAATGTACTAAGTCCAGAGAGCAAAATTTTTACAGTGAAAAAAGTTATGGTTCTTTTTTTTAACAATTGTACCTAAATTGTGTACTTTTTCTTTATATTTTTTCAACATTTAGAATTTGAATTTTAGGTACATGTTTCTGTGGCAATTGCAACAGGTATCTTAGACTAGGAAACTACAATTAAATGATTGTTTAAAAATTTTGGGCTTAGAGTACATTTAAAGAGCTGGTCAACGAATTATGCATTGTTTTAAACCTTATGAAAGATACAGCTGTTGAGCATGCACCACTCTACTGAGTTGATGAAAAATGGCTGATTGTTGAGCTGTACAGAAACATGGCAACTGCTTGCTTCAGTTTCATGTTTGACAAATTATGCTTGGATTTATGACTTAGTCGGCATAATGCTCAAAACCTTTTTGTTAGCAATAATGTAACATATCACTGCATTGCGACTGCACCGTTATATTTCTTACATTAAAGTAAGTTAAGTATTACCAGTATTCTCAAGGATCGACTGTGGATCAAGCAGTTTAAAATTTGAGTTTTTCTCGCGCAGTTCAAATTAATCCAAAATAAAGACTTGTGTTAATCAAAGTTGTTGGTTTTTCAGAATACTTGAGTGCTGAACAGACCATAAAGTCTGTGATAAGGTCAGTCTTCATTGTGAAGAGGATCTTTTAACAAAAATTTATAGACAGCATAAAGTTCTCAATATATTTCATTGATTATGAGAATTACAAGTCAAGTACATAGCATAGATAATAAGATATATGAAAATCGGATAAACAAGGGAATTCCAGTTTCTGGAAGTTAGTGTTGGAGGACACAAGGTAAAATTTAGTCTACTTTTGAGCTGCCCTGCAGTGAAACTCTGCAAAAGCTGATGCCTAATGATGAGGCAGGCCCTGCTTTTGCAAAGCACAATATAGAGCCTTCATCTTGAAATATCTGCACTGATTATATTACCTAAGCCTACATTTACTGCTGCTGTGCTATATTGTGTGTTTGTTTTAAGTGTTTCATTTTCTTTTTCTTGCTGTGTGAGGATTTGGTCCAAGTACCAGTTACAAGTAGAATGGGTTGGTTTTTTTTCAAGCAAGGTATATTATGTTCAATCCACTTCAAGCTAAAAACCTGGGGGTGTAGTTTTGTGCACAATTAGCAAAGAGCTTCCATTGCATGTATGTGTTTGAATGAGTCGCAAAAGTGAAAGAGGTTGCTTCGATTTATTTTGTCTTGTTATCTAGCGTCTTGTCTTCTATTTACAGGGGTTTACATCACTCCTTCCATACGGCTTTTGTATATAGAAAACATTTTTCATATTCTGTTGATCACGATATTTACTCTAGAGGTGAAGATAAGCACATTGATTTTTTAAAACCACAACCCTTCAATCCATCGCTTGATTTGCAGTACCTATTATGATTCTGTGTTTAACATTCCAAACAATATCCTGCTATGCAAATTCTGGCAATGTTTTGCTGGTTCTTTTGAAGTGTCAGTTGTGCTGCTTGTCGGCTAGTCTGGCAAAAAAAAAAAAAAAAAGAAACACCAACAGATGTCAGAAGAATTCTTTCCTGCTTTCTTGGGATGTATGCCTCATAGATCAGCAATGGAGCTACGTGTCTTTTTTTTATGTGACCCTATAAAAATTACACCCTGAAAGAGTTACAAACTTAAAAGTATTTTTATTTAAGCAGCAAAAAAAAAAATCCACAAAAAAACACAGACCAGAACTCACAACAGAGCGCATGGTAACATGAGTTGTTTTTTTCTTGAGCTGATAGTATGAACAACATGTATTATGCTGATGATACAGTCTTGATAGCTGATTCTCAGTCCAATAATTCCAGGAGATTCTCTCTAGAGTGACAGAGGAAAGTGAAAAGAAGGGGCTACAAATGAACGCCTAGAAAACGGAATATATGGTGTTGACATCCCAGTTAGCAACACTACATCATGTAAGAATGAAAGTATAAAACTGTTCAGCAGCTCAAATACTTTTCTTGTTCAATTACCCCAGATTCAAAAAGTGACACAGAGATAAAACAGAGTATTGCAATATCTAAAGAAGCTTTCAACAAAGTGAAGTCCACTACCTTCTTACACAGAAATATAACAGTGAACACAAAGATAAGAAACCAGAAAACGCATCATGTGTGACCAATCCTTGTGTATGGATACAAGAGCTGGACTCTAAACAAGGACATGGAGAGAAGACTTGAAGTCAAAAGTCAAGTGTTGATTCGAATGATTGAAATCCAATATAGGCCTACAGTAGACTAGGTTTTGAACTTCGAAAACTGTGGGTAATAATGATTGCATCTTAAGCTAAACTAACATTTTCTTTTGTCTTTGCCCAAGTCTAAGATCTGCCTCTTACAGATTTTATTTTGAATTTTGAATCAATATTTTTATATCTTTTTTTTTACGATGTAATATAATATGAAAACATTTTTTCATTTTTATAGTTTTGCCTTGGCTTTGTATTTTTTTCCCAGGTAACATCCGTTTACAGCTTAACAAGAATTTTTTTTCCCAAGAGAGAAAAAAAGTCTGCAGTTTTTTTTAGGAAAATAAAATAAAATTCTTGCCTCTGGAACAGTAAAATTATGGTAATAAAAACAGAAGAATGAATTTTAGAGAATCATTTCACCCAGATTGGCATCAATAGTCCTTGTTAATTTAGAAAGCATCATTTGGGCATTTTTATGTGTGTCAGTTAGGTGGCTTATCTCTCAGATATGTGAAGAATTAAAAAATCCTATTGCCTTTCCGTGATTTCTTTTAATGTGTAGGCATATTCTTCTTCTTAAATTTTACTGTGCTTGGAAACTGTTCTTGTACTCTCATTTGCATGTTGTTGTTGTGTTAAAATTTCTCATATAAGCCTTGAAATTGAAAAAAAGAACAGACGAAATGAACATTGTTTCTATTTATGCTGTACAGCGGTCAATGTATTTACCATAGTTTGACAGGGGTCAGTTTAATGTAGAAAATACAATCAAAGATGGATGACAGTTTCAACTCAAGATAACAATTCATTCCATTTCCGGTAAGTTTTAACATGCACATAGAAAGCATTAGCTTTACAGATGTGACATCATTTGCTTCCATGAATGGATTTTTCTGCTGATTTTACCCTGCATTTATGCCCTTTGAGCAGAGGGCCAGATAAATTTTTTATCAGAATTGGTGGTTGGGGAACTTCTTTCTTTTTAACTGCAATGAAAGTCTTCATCATAAACTTGATTTGAATTGTCTTTTATACTCTTTGTAAGTAAGGCATCATTGGCCTAGTGTGCGTGTGTATGTATGTGCGTGTGGGAGGGAGGGTGTATATTTGTGTATGTGTAATTGTGTATTTGAGCACAAGTATGTGTGCACACCTTCATTTACATAAGAATGTGGATGTGCAGGCATACAAAATGTGTCGAGTGTGACTAACATATCTTTTTTGCATGGTGCCGTTTGAATGAATGGGTGGTCCTTCATACTTTTAACTTCTCTCTGTGTATAAAAGACACTTCCTCTTCCTCATTCAGTGGGTCTTTCGTATGCAGACAAAGAAACAATTAAAAGGGTGCTTATGTGTGTGCATACTTCCAGTGTTGTAATCTCTGTGTGTTTTTGAACTCTCAGTGCTGGAAAAAAAAGAAAATGTAAGCTTCACATGTGGAAATGTATTTTATGCTGTTTCTTTGCTTCTGGAGAAAAAAAAATGAATATGAATAAATGTCATGATGATGATTGCTGGGGGAAATTTCCTAGAGTTTATCTCCTTGAACGTATCTGCAGAGTTGCATGGGAGGCACCGTTTGTATAAATATTTGCTCTTATACCAACATTGCATTACCATCTACTTTTTTGTTGACAAAGTCCCATGTATATTATTGAATTTTTCTTATTTATTTGTAATGTACATATATACATACTAAAGATATAAACACATACACTGCTGCTCAGCAGAAAAATCCAAATGTTTGTCCAATATGAGTGTCATTTATGTCTGAGCCTCCCTGTGAGCCATGTGAATGTAAGGGAAATATTATTGTGGTCTTAAGTATCTGCGTATGTGTGTGTGTGTGTTTGTATGTGTGTACGTGTGTGTGTGCATGTATGCCTCTGCTAATATAAGTGAGAGGGAGAGAGAAAGAGACAGACAGACAGTAGAGATGGAGGGAGGGAGAGCATGTAAGTGTGCCTTTCATAATTAATGTGTAAGCTTATCATTTTCTTGAACATGTACAAATAAGGAACTTGAAGAGGAGAGAGGGGAAATGTTTTATAAAAGTCACTAAACTGATAACACCATCCCGTTGGCAGATCTACTACACCAGGAATGTTGAATCAGCACACACTCACGACGCGGTAGAATCAGGCGCTCGTCAATTTTTGGGCATGTAGAGTTCAGGGTATCATCTTAAATCCTGTTCATTTCTCTATCTCTTGATAAAAAAAATACCCATCTTGAATAAAAGTCGATATATTTGAAATTGAACGAGGTGGGGTCACTTGGTTTCAGAAGTAAAGTTACCGAGAAAATTGTTGCCAAAGTTTGGTGATTTCCACAGCCTGAGAGTCCTTGGAAACTGAAAATTTATTATTTTTATACCTTTAATATTTGTTTTCCAGTAAAATCTGCACAAAATGTGTTTTTAAATGGACATAAAGGTATAGAATCAAACAACAAAAAATTTGATAAAAATTGCGGAAGCAGCGGAAAAATGCCAATATAATCTTTTATTTCATTATTTTGACGAGCGCCTAATTTCACCACAGTGCCTCACACATTATAAATGTCAGCTATCATTGTTCCTCAAGAGCCAATTTTGTAAAAAGGATATTGCAAGGTGACGTAACTGACTAATGCTTCAGAGAGTGAGAGAAAATCAGGGCTTAGGTACCGGGTATATTCAAACATTAGCATGAACGCTCGATTCGTTATTATTATTTTATTATTTTGTGTAGAAGCATGTTAATTTCATTTACATATATGTATTATTTTAGTGCTAAGAAGTTATGCAATTGTGTAATTAATCACCTAGAAAAGTGAACAAAACCTTAAGCTAGTTGTAGGAAGTGCATGACAAAGTATTTAATTATCAATTTCATTGTTTCTCATGAATAAACACTTAAATGCCAGTGTTTTGTGATTGCAAAAAAAAAGACTAATACCTAACACCAAGTACCAAAATACAATTAAATTATTTTCTAATGTTCAAGATAAAGAAAAAGTATGACCGCTTTTCCTATTTGCATTGTTCTTACACCCCATATCCATATTTACTCGTTGTTAAAAGATAAAACTCTTGCAATTTCGCTGAAAAAGCGCCTCTAGAACTGTTTCCAAAAATATACTTAAGGTTCTTTATCCAGTTTTTTTTAGTAATGGATATATAGACCCGAACAGCAACTTGCGCTGCTGACAGCCGAAAAACTCTGCAGACTAACTCTGGCAGGGAGATTATCAGGAAAGAATGTTTTGCTGTTTCTGGCTCTTTTATCCAGTTTCTTGATTAATGGTATATCATTGTACTCAGTTTGTTCTGACAGACGTTTAACTTTTTTTAAAGCCCATTTAAAACTGCTTCTGAAAACTTATAATTTAGTTTTACTTTTGTTTGAATTGTTTGTATATATAGAATTTGTGAGAAATCTTTTTGAAGGGTTTGTCCCAGTTTAGCTCAGCCTGGCACTTTTTTTTTAAATTTTTGTATAGCTTTGTACGCTTGCTGCTTTATTGTGAGATTAATAATACTCAATGCACTACCATCATGACAAAATTATGAGAGCTTGCTGAATTAATACATGTGCAATAGAATCGTTAAAAAATGACATTAAGATTTCACAGTTGCTTTTTTTCTCTCCTACTGAGTAGATGGAATAACTTGACACAGTGCTAACATTTTGGCCTAAATCAGACTTTTTCCCAAAATGTAAGTGATCTGTCAGAGGCTGACTACCCCTTACACATCCTTAGCTTATGTGCTTTCATGAGTACTCATTGCATAGCATGTTAAGAGAAGATGTGCTGTATAGTTAGACAAACAAAGTGCATTTTTTTCTTCTTCCCTATTATCAAAACTACACTAAACATTGGCCTAAATGTTAGCAATGTGTCTATATTGTAAAACAACAGTATTTTTATTCACAGAAAATCTTTGTATAATTTATAAATGACTGATACAGAACTGCGTCTGTGTGCTTGTTAAATGTGAATCATGGGTGAAGTGAGGGTTTGAAACTGAGCAGTCTCTGTTGTGGTTCTGTGGATATGTCAGTTAATTTCTCTCTGCCAATGTGTCTCCCTTGCCCATGTTTCCAATGAGAATGATAATTATGTATTGATGATGAATTATTATTATAGGTTTGACTTCACACAATATAATGAATAAAAAAAAAAGAAATGATTAATCTGACAAAAAAAGTTGTGTTCTTTTATTTTTTCTTTCATGTATATGTGCAAGTGTGAAATGTCAACCTCAAAGCTATTTATTGCCCTGAAAAGAAGTTTATTTTTCATCTTGTTTCATGTTTATCTACCAAACTTAAGAGTTGTGGATTTTACTCAGTCAGTTTTACGCATGAAATAAGAATGAGAAATTTCGGTGTAGAAAGGGGGGAGGGAGTAGGGGGGGGGGGGCACAGATTTTGAGTAGGCCTACCATGCTCTAATTAAGTCAATTTCGGTCTGCTTAACCTCAATAATGCCACCAGGCACCAGGCCTCAGCATGTCATACAGAAACTGAAAACATTGGCTGTGGTGGTCGTGATTTTCCAAGACATTGGGGGGGGGGGGGGGTCAAACATGGCGAGGGGAGGCGGGGAGTCTTTGACATAACAGAGTGCTTTTTTCATACATATAGGCATATCTCCAGTGGAGTCCATAAAAGAATCATGTAGGCTACCGTAGTCTCTTTTGATTTACTTTTCTCTAAACCGTGTCACCCTCCTCTGGGCTCCTGACTCTTTCTGCAGCCTTTCTACTGCTACTCCTTGGCTCCTCCTAACTGCTGTCTTTCTGCCACACCCCTGATCTTCTGGTAGGAAAGATCTACACCTAGCCTTCTCGGACAAGGGCGAAAAATCTCGGAGGGCCCGTGTGCAAGTTGCGCACGTTAAAGATCCCTTGGTGGTCTAAAATCGATAAGAGTAGGCTTCGGCCGCCACCCGGGCAAAATTCAAAATTTCCTACCAACGAAAAAGTATAAGGTGTGTCCCGCGCGCTCATATGACCTTATGCAGTTGCGAGCGCCGTAAAACCCTATACTAAACAAACAAACAAACAAACCGTGTCTGTGGTGTAGCAGTTTGGCACTTTGCTGTCATACGCAGGAGACCCGAGTTTGATTCCGGAGTGGTGAGAACATTTTTATCAAATAGCTCGGTCTTTCTGCTGGGGTGTTGTATTCCTTTCGGTCTAGGTTGGCCTTGAGGCTGGGTTGGAAGCCCATCTCTTAAATTATCTAAACTGTGTTTATGGGGGGCATAAAGATCTTGCATTTTTAAAAAATCAACTCCCTCATCCGTTCACAGACTACATATCCAACTGCTCTTTTATTTTATTCAGCTTAATTACAACACCTAGTACATATTCTGTGTTCTGCATTGTAGTTATATGCCTATTCTATGGAGATATGAAGCAGGTTTAGGCCTCTACTACAGTAGGCTAGTGGGATTGATGGCGGGTGCTCTGGAGTGGTTTGCTCCTTCTTTCCTCTCAAACACCTATCGTCCTTATTCTCTCCTCCTTTTTGTGTAAGTTACTCTCTTGTAAAATTTTTATTCTTCGGCACTTATAGTTATATATGACCTTGCTGTGTTGTAAGTGCAGTAAAACTCTTAATAAAACTAAAAAAACAGTAGGCCTATAGGCCACCCCACAGAGCGCATGCAGGTCGCACAGAACAGTTTATTATGTCATTGTGATGTTGGGTTTATACTACGGTATTCAAATTTACTGGAATCTATTGTGACATATAATTGAGCTGGCAGGAGATCTAGAGAAAGTAAAAACCTCCTACCCAATAACCGTACAACAAACGGTATAATCTTCCTGCCTGTAGGCCTAATCTGTGTTGTTAAAATTACAGGAATAAATGCAAAGAATTGTCGCTGAATGCAGCCACCCTCTCATCCGATATGTCTGATGCAAGGACCTTGTTATAATACATATATACACATATATTATGTACATGTAACCTCCTTGGTCTGGTGGCTTTGAAAGGGGCGAAGGAACTCTGGGGAATGCTATTGACTAGTGCTGGGCGGCTAGGTTCTCAATTATTGAAAGCTAGGAATCGTAGGAATCGACTCCGATCCCAATTACTTACTTTCTATTGATGTGATTTCTTCCAGTGGTTACCTGGTTAGCCCCGAACATCTTCAGGATTTAGGACAACCTTGATTTCGAAACACTGCGAGGCACCAACTTTTTAAAATAAATAATAAATTCTAAAAAATGTAACCACTGGTTTACGTAAAAAGGAGTCGGAACTTTTCATCCGTAGCTAATCGTGGGAATCGGTTCCAGAATCGAGTCTTCGCCCAGCTCTACTATTGACCTTGGGGGTGTGTACAACAACAATGTTTACTCTGAGATTCTGTTAAGAACAGCAGAGTACAGCCTGCATAATTATTCCAGAGACCTCATAAAAATGCATATATAATAAAATATTATTGCGTTGTCACTATGGAACGGCAGGTCGGGCGTTCGGCAATTGAAATGCCGTACAACGCCGCTCTGGACTAGAATTGTTATGGTAAAATGACCCAATAGTGCTGATACGCGCGTTCAATTAGTAGGCTACACTTTCTTTTTTTTTCTTTTTTTTCCCCCCTTTGATCGTCCGCTGTCTGGTTGGCAGTGTCCCTGTTGAGTAAGCTATGTGGGTATGTGTTCATATAATATGTGTGTTAAAGTGTATGTATGTGGGTGTGTGTGTGTGTGTGTGTGTGTGTGTGTGTGTGTGTGTGTGTGTGTGTGTGTGTGTGTGTGAACGCGCGCGCGTGCGTGTGTGTGGTGACGAGTTGGGGAGGGAGGGAGGGGGAGGGGTATTGTTGATGTAATTTTAATCAAGGATCACACCTGCTTCCAGCAAATACTCCAGGTCTGTAAAGTAAGCTTCACACAGACAAACTGTCAATTAGTCGCCTTTAAGAACAAGGGGGCTATCCCGAAAAATGCTGTTTTGAGAAAATTGAAGGAAAAGTTTTCGCTCCTTGTTCGGTTTCTTTTAAAATACAAGAAGAGTTTTGTTTATAACCAAACAAATAACATTTGTATCATACACACCACTGATACCAAAACTTCTCCCCTTTTATAGGTAGGGCAATGCCCACTTTTGGTGCAGGTCAAGATTTCTGGAGACTGGTTAGCCCGCTTGTCCTCAAAAGCGACCAATTAATTAATAAGTGGGAACACAATGATACAGATCTAGAATCTAGTCCTACTGAAAATGCTCTATTGACAACTTTTTCGAGACTATGTAGGACTACTGCAGCTTCCAATAATTAAGAGACTTGCCGTGTTTTTATAAGTTATTTTTATTTTAGTATGAGTTTTACGGCCTGTGCAACACAATGAGATCACAATCCATATATAAGTGCCGGAAATTAGAGGTGTTACAAGAGAGTAACAAACAGTATTTTTTCTTTTTTTAAAAGGAGCGATAAAGATAATAGATGTTTGACGGGAAAGAAGGCGCAACCACACCAGAGCACCCGCCAGCCACCCATGCCTTGTTCTTCACAACAGGCAAATATCCCATATTTGCAGAGTATCTTTCTACACAAAACAGCTACCGGTAACAAGCAACCTGGAAACTAACAATTTAGTTAAGCTGACCACATCTTACTAAAATACTATGTCAACACGTGGCATTTTGATGGTCTTAATTAAAGCAGTATGCATGTTTTGTTTTTTGGGTGGTTTTTTTGTGTGTTTTAGTAAGGGTTTTACGGCACTTGCAACACAATAAGGTCATATTAGTGCCGAAGATTAGAGGTGTTACAAGAGAGTAACAAACATAAAAAAGAAGGAGGAGAGATCAGGATGATAGATGTTTGATAGGAAAGAAGGGGCAAACCACACCAGAGCATCCGCCAACCGCCCATGCAGTGTGCATGATACAGCTTTTCCTGAGCGTTAGGCATAGAGGGTGTAAATTGTCCTAGTACTTTTCTTTTGGGGCTCTCTTGGTCTGGAGGTACAGTACATTAGCTTTATTTATTTTAGGACCTCCAAGGGATCTCTAACGCTCGCAACTTGCACATCACTCGGGACCTCCGAGATTTTTTGCCCTTATCCGAGAAGGCTATGTGTTGGATCTTAACTACCAGGGGAGTGGCTGAAATACTTCAGTAAGGAGGAGCTATAAGGAGTAGCAGTTGAAAGGAAGCATTAAGAATCAGGAGTCCAGGAGGCAAGAGGGGGTTGGGGGGCGGGGGGAGAAAGTGGAGACGAAAGCAAACGACAGAACACGGCTAGAGAGAAGGATGTGACAGGAGAAGAGTTTAGAGAAAAATAATTTCCGTCGCTCTCAGGTTTCGAACCAGGATCCAACTGAATGAGAAGCAAACTGACGTGTATATTATGCTTCGGCCGCCACCCAGACAAAATTAAAAATTAGTTCCTACCAAACTAATCATGGTGTCCTGAGCGCTCATATGACCTTATGCAGCTGCAAGAGCTGTAGTAAAACACTTACCAGACACACACACATACACACACAAAAATAAGAACGAGGAATAGAAGTCATCGTGTAGTAGGCCTAGTATAATGACTTAATGTGCTCTTGTTCGTTGACGAAAGGGCCTACATTTTGAGATTCTAGTTCTAGTAAAGGTTTAACGGCACTCGCAACTGCATAAGGTCATATGAGCGTCAGAAGATTAGAGGTGTTACAAGCGAGTAACAAACATAAAAAAGAAAAAGGGGAGAGAAAGACGATAGATGTTTGATAGGAAAGAAGAAGCAAACCACACCAGAGCACCCGCCAACCACCCACGCATTTTGAGTGATCAATTCCTTCCATGATGTAATTTTTTTATTTAAAAAAAAAATGGATTCGCTTTTCAAAGAAGCACTTGCCTTCTCAAAATTTGAGAAATTATTTTAAAATTTTAATTATATAGGCCTATAGACGTCTACGTATAAGGTCGCGTCAGCTCCATTGAACCACAAGGAGGGCAACCTGTTAACAAGTCACATGCAAAGACAGACATACAGATAGACGACATAAAAACAGTAGGCACGTTGACTGACAAAGAGATAGATAGGTTGATACGAATTAAAGAGACCAATTGAACTGATCATCTAATGGATAACAGGGTTTTTTAAAAGCATGATTGGGCTGTCATGTGGGACTAAACAAAAGAGTGAGAGAAATGCACATCCGAGAACAGTAGCAAGTCTTTTGTCCCTGCCCCTGGGGTTTGAATACGTTTGGGTCCCGACCCTTGTGTTCCTTACATTACCACGAATTGCTTACTATATGTATAGGCCTATGGAAAATAACAGAAAGGTATTATAAGGGTTACAGGCTGTTAAAACAAGTGTTACTATATTTAACACTTCCATTTTCCGGCCTCTCGTTGTTACTTATATTGCTGTGTTGAGGGGAGAAGCTAACGGCTCAGCTCTTTTAATTATATATAGTTGTATCGCCTGCTGCATGATTATGTTGTTCTTGACTAACATTACTCTGGCCACTTCTATGCATCTTTCCCTGGGCCTGCCCCTTCTTCTGTTTCCATCTGATTTTTGCTGCACGTAATGGTAACAACATATATAAGAAAAGAAAACTAACCCTAACATATTTTTCAAATAAACTTTGTCAGCTAAAAAAAACCCAACAGTTCTTATAATGATAACTGGTGCCCCTCCAATGCATTCTATTATATATAGGTTCTGCTAGAGGCACTTTTATATTATCTCTCTCTCCCAGACAAAAGACGTGGGTTCGATTCCCACATGGGGAGGACTTTTTTATTGAGTATCTCAGTCTTTTTTCTAGGATTGTCTCTCTCAGCCCAGGTTGGCCCTGACAGACGGGTTGGAAGCCTGGCTTCTAAATATGATCTAAATTGTGTTAAAATTGCATTTAAAAAACAAAACAAAACAGCAACAAAAAAAACAAAAACAAAAACAAAAACACCCTTGACATTACAAAATTCGTTCAAATCTGAGTGTGTTAGAAATTTTTCTTCTTGTTCTTCCTGAGATATATACATTTGTTCTGTGCTCCGCTAGGGGCCAGTGAAGATCTGAGTTTAAAATGATCTTTAAAGGACAACAAACTTCAATAAAACAAAAAACAAAACTCTTCTGAAAATGATCTACATTCAAACTGATCAAACAACTCGTACCATTGAGGTTACTGAACACACAGTGCTACAAATGAGAGAGAGAGGGAGGGAGGGAGGGAGAGAGAGAGAGAGAGAGAGAGAGAGAGAGAGAGAGAGAGAGAGAGAGAGTGTGTGTGTGTGTGTGTCTTACTGAGCACATGTGAAACATGTATTTTTACTATAATGTCCTGTCTTGTTCTGCATATGGGTAAATGCACCTAACCTTTTGTAACATCTACTGCCATTGTAAACGACCAAGACAAATTTTACCCTGCGAGATAAATAAAGATTATCATTGTCATTGTCAACACACATTCAAAAAATGTATTAAAGTTAAAGGAAACAATAAATAGCAACAAGACCATTTTCTATAAGTAAGCTTTCTTTATCTTTATTCATCCATTCTTCTGTTCAGCACAAGATGTTCAGTGCTCTTCTGAAGGCAAAAGTGTTTATCAGTATATAGAGGTTTTGACTGCAGTCAATTAGGGTATGAAATATCCGCCCATGCTTGGTTTTCTGCTATAGCCGTTCTTGGTGGATGCTATGTGAGTTCCAACTATGAAAAGTGAAACAACATGCATCAGAAATTAGCATAAAGACTTTCATGCAAACGGTCTCATATTACACATGTGATCAAAGAAAATACAAACTATCTAGTATATACACCAAAGGTCTTTCAAAGGAAAGAAAAAAATACTGGAACAGCAAAATATACACCTGCTGTACTCAAAATAAAATGTGTAATAACAGCAGTCAAAGTTTTTTTTAATTGTGAAGGGGTGACAGAAACTACAGACAACAAAAAGAGAACAATTCTGACATTGACAAATAAAAAAAAAGCAACAACAATCCCTATATAAAACAAATCTGGTTTGCACAAACATGAAAGTAACAAAATGTCAAAACATTTTGATAAATAATATTTGGAATTAGTAGACAGTTTGTGCAGCAAAATTCCAATAATCTGTAAAATAATTATAAAAATTGTCTAAATACAAGTGAAGACTAAATGTCTAATGGCTGAAGCATTTCACAAGAATGCTTTAAATTTTTCAGTAGGGCCTGCAAATTCCTATGTCTAGAACGCAATTTGGAATATTCTTTTGAGCATTCTCTAAATATGGCATTATATCAACAGAGCAGATTAATCCTCCAACTTGAATTATTGTGGAATACATTGTCAGTTTGCACTAAAGTAGCATATTTGGATACAAGGCTTTAAAAATATGTAACTAGACTACAGTTTTCTGAATCAACTGGTCAGCTCTCATTATTTTTTAAAAGGAGAATACGACAGCTTTGTGACTACATGCTGACATAAAAAACATTAATGAATTTTTTTAAAAAACCCAATAAACTGCATATTGAAAGCCATGTATATAAATAATGTGAATATGCAATTCAAGAACAAAAGAATCCTCCATCTGGTTTCCGTGAGAACCCTTTGTTTGTGGTTTCTGTGTGGTGACTCTCTGTGGCAGAATACAAAAAAGGGGAAAAACCAAATTTAAACAAATGAAAAGGCAAAGTAACAGCAAGCAATAATAACAAATTAAGAATTAAATAAAACTCTTTTTCTTTCTTCTTATTAAAGTCTTCTTATACCAGTAACTGGAATTGTTTTACGCCTCTATTGTGTTATCTTGTTCCTGTACTTGGAAATATGTTTTACGTCGCACCCCATTAAGTTAACCCCTTCGTGACATAGGATCAGTTTCAGCTTTACCGAGAACAGTTTTGGATCTCCGAGGACACAGAGTAGCACTAGATTTAGTGCTCAGTTTCCTATAATTAGACCCGGTTCGCAAATACTACTAACTAAATCTAAAAGGAAAAGATTTCTTTGTGCGGAAAAATATTCCCGGAAGTAAATCTGCAATTAGGTTTTTACAAAATGCACCTATAGAAGCAGTGCCAAATAGAGCCGTTACGGTCCTTGCCCCGTACGTCACAGCCGCATTGGCTCGTGCGCCGTGTACGAAAAAATGATGAATGGCACATGTCATATAGGTCACGAAGGGATTAAAATTGTGTTCTCATACCAGCATCGTTTTATGAATTAAATAAGCTCCAAAAGGATGCCATTCTTCCAGATGCTACTTTTATTTTTGTCCTTGTGAAAGTGACAAAAATACAGAGAATTAAAGAGACTGTCATATAATAAGAAACATAACATGTTTTAAAAGAACTCTAGAAAACTGAACGAAGAACTTGATGCAATATAATTTTTTAATTTACGCCAATTTGAATTCATGAAAGCTTTAATTTTTTAATTTCCAGCTTTGAATTTGGAATAGCATCATCCGTTGAATGTTAGGAACAACCCCCCCCCCTCCAATAATTTTTCATTTTGCATATCTGTCATCCCAATTTTTCCTAAAATTACTTCTTTTAAGCTTAAAGAGATTAACAAAGTACATTTTCTTCCCTTACTCCTCATGTCGTCTCAGAATATTGTAGTAGTACTGCAAAACAATTAGTTTGTGACACTTGTTTTTACAATAACATATTCAAAAAGTGAAAAATAAACAGTAATTCAATTAAACCTTCATGGAATTTTCCAAATGTCAAAGGTTAACAATATTTAACGTTCAATTCAGCTTAATATTCTTACCGATTGCTGTTTTGATACTGTTATTGTCTTCTTTCTTCGCTTGACTTGTGATAAGAAGAGGGTGATTCAAATTCATTTTCTTAACTGGTTCTGGTTTTACCCTGTTCTTGAGAACACGTCTGAAAAAACAAAACAAAAGCACACATAATCAACAATTACAAGAATACAGAACTGTGCTTTGGGCTATATGTGATTTGTGAGACATATGAGCATTTATGAATTTCGGGAAGTTCACGGAAAAAAATAAAATTTCAGTAACAATTACAACCCATTCACCTGTCAAAGTAAGAAATTGAATTCATACAGTACGAATCTTACACTCGACAAAACTGTTGGGTTCCATGCCAAGTTTCTCAGTATTGAAGTTTTTTTATATGAAGCATAGTCTGACAAACACGGTCTCTAAGAGCAACAGTTCAGGTGAGATATATGTTGGAATGCTTTGTTTGTGACAGATATGTGTATTGGTACATACATATCTTATCTACTTATATACAGGTCAACTGGGTGCCGGTCCATTTTGATCTACCATGATAATGTTTCAGTTCGAATTCGCAGTCCACCACTAGACCAGTCTGACAACTGTTGTACTTGACAGTCAACTATTGGATTTTTTAAAAGTAGTGCTTTAGGGTACGAAAGTGATAGTATTCTCATGTGCAGGCCTTGGTTGCTTGCATTATCGAGGTAGACTGTCAGGTAGAACGCATCATTGCAGTAGGCCATGAAGTGGACAATTACTTGCATTTGACTCCTATAGTAAGACTTTACATTCTTTGACTGCAATTTCTCTTCCAGTTTCTTGATTGGAGACCAAATTAGCAGAACCTCTTATGGCTATTCAGTAACATCAGCAACTTAAGGTGAATTTGCCATAATTTCACTCCTCCATAATGTAACCCACGAAACTGTAATGAAACCATTCTAGCATAAAGAGACATACACATAGTTGTAGCAGGACAAGACATAACTTTTTTACATTCCATCTGAACAGCTTGGACACTTTCACCGAACTGTTACTCATGAACTCAAGTGCGACATACTACACATAACAAAAACACACCTCAACAATTTGGTCTTAAGGTTAGTCGTCACATCATAGTAAATAATACTTTGTAAATAAACCTCTTGTTGAAGTTCATATGAGCCATGGCTCAATTATAGTTGGCATATACCCCCCTTTCAACATGGATCAATGAAGAATTATAGTAGTGTCCGCTTTAACTGAAATTTGCTGGGTTGCTGGATTTTCTTCAGTATAGCCTGGTTTATTGTTTAGACAAGTTGCTCAGATAGAAGGAAAAAAATCAGGGATTTATTTTCTTTCGGATTACCACTGCTTTCACAATAACTGTGCTCATTTTAATTTAGTTTAAGTGGACTCCATTGCATATACTTTCAAATTATCCAGCCAGTCACTGGATTGCAGGTATAGTCTTGTCCTTGTCTCCTTACCCATGCTCCTCTCCAAACGTCTCTGGCTGATAAACAACTTCATTCCTATTCTTGAGCAGTTCATCATGCTGGTTGTACTGAGACTTGAGAACAAAGTCAAGGTCATCTTTAGGTGCTGCAGGATCAAAGTGATAGACTTCATGCCTGGCAGAGCTCAGTGTGTGCTGGCTACTGAGTCGTTGCCATGGTTCTTGACGTTGAGCTAAGTGAGCTGGCACAGGATAGCAAATACCCTGTAAATGAGGAAAATACTCAAGAATTAGCTAGAGGTACAAAGTTGAAAGGTTGATGAGTAAATGTGAACAGCATTGGCAGAAGTCAAATTTACACTCCTGAGAGGTAGTCGTCCTAATACCCTCAGGCAACTGGAAAGATGAGTGGGTAGTGTTTGACAACTTCACTACAATCGAACTTGCTCTAATGACCATCTGTCCAAGACGACTACCTGTACAAATGACCACTTCCCGCTTCTCCCCATGCATTTTTTTTTACAAAGTGAGACTGTCCAAGCTGACCACATGTCCAACCTGACCTCAGCCACCATATTCTAAAAATCAGCAGCCCCGAAATCCTGTACAAAATGAACAAACAAATCTCTCATCATCTGATGTGTTGCTATGATGAATTATATGACCAGTCTTTCTCCTTTGATAACAAATGTAAAAAAAGGATCCAAACGAGGTGCTGTAGGGACCCTAGAAAAAGATAAACTTATCCCTCGTCCTGCGGGGGCCGGGTTTATGTCGCCCGATAAGCCTATTTCGGCACCTCGCCTTCGTTCTGGTCTCGCGTCAGTCTGGCCCCTGGCTCAGCGCACGAGCATCATCTCCCGTTCAATTCAGGTCCCGCGTTGGATCTGAACTCATGCAGTGCAAGTGTGTGTACGTCAGTCTGCTTAAGTTTGTGGCCTTCTTCTAGAACCGCCTAGAATACTATTGTGCAGGTAAAAAGAACAATTAATTTTAGTGCACAAATTCGGAAATTGACCTAGATCTTTATTATTATTATCCCCTTTAGTAATTTAATTTAAGAGCGTCTAAACAGGTTATTCGAATGGCCGTAACTACTCGTAAGGTCTTATCTTATGAGAGGTGGTTATTCATGTGTTCGTAACACTTTATAAATAGAAAGCAATAAGATAGAGCATTATTTTCTTCATCGATTAAGACATGCCCACGGTATTCAAGGCGAAAACACACGTTTCCAGGCCTGTTCGCAGTACACACTGAGTGACCCCGCGGCCTGCCCGGAATGTCCGATGAAATCGGTTGCTGATAAGATTCGCATCTCAGCACAGACGCAGGACTTGTGACAAGAGTTGGCGCTTTTTCTGTAGTTCCCACCCCCCTTATTTGAGCCTAGATCTACATCCTAGATCTATATCCTATACGTTTGATCCGTGGCGAGCTAAGATATCAAAGCTAACAACTGCAAACCATCAAATTATGGTAAAATTCAGAGGGGCATGCCCCCCTGAAACCCCCCATCATATTTTTTATTAGGTCAGGTGCTTGCCCCCCTGAAACCCCCCCTTCTCTTGAGGCCAAGACCGGTGAATAACAATTGCGGGGTGGGAACTATCGAAAAAGTGCCCAAGAGTTAACCTACGATCAGCTCAAGCGATTTCAACACAAGTACATATATAAGTAGATTCAGTAGAGTAGAGTAGATTAGCTGTCTGCACTTACTACTTGCTGATCGACTCTGATCGAGTCTTGGTCGGCTATAGCGTCTATAATCTATAGGAGGCCTACATCTAGATCTCTAGATTCTACATCATACTTCTTTCTAGATCTAGATCTACTTGACATGGACATGGCGTGATGTCATCGATGATGGTGATGAATGGTGGAGTGGAGATATATCTTACTCTAGATTCTATGTATTAACTAGATCTAGATCTAGATCTACTCACTTCAGGATCTCTCCTTCCCATAAAGTTGTCATCGTTCTGAAATTTTTCAAAGGGATATGGATCTCTAGAAGATTGTGCTGCTGCCATTTCGAAATCAAATATTTTTTTGTCTACAAGCAGGGTTATTGCTTCCTCGGGCGGTGTATAGAGAATGTATAAACGGAAGTTGAAATAAGGTCCATGGAAACGTAACTACTCTCAATACCTAAAAGTTATTATTATAAACGAATAATAGTGTCTATTTTTTCTAGATCTATCTATACTATAAACATGTGATTCAATTTTGATTAGACATAGGTATACAGCTGTTTATAAAGATTGAAAAGAACAGTAGAAAGCAATGCAAATTGTGTGGAGAGTATCAAACTTATTTTTAGAATAGACAGGCATTCTCTCCCTTTGCAATCGACTTTTTGGTCTGCTGGCGTCCGCCAGTCCAGTTTTAGGCTAGAGATCTAGTTGACAATTGACAAGCTAAGACTAAGACTAAGCACAAAGTGCAGTTTTTTTCTGTGACAGTAGGCCTATCGAGAAGATCTGTTCACTATTTATTACTTACTGACACAGCAAACATTGTGACCACTGGTGCTACGTTCGTTGTGATCAATTCGTTTGGACTAACGACATCTCTGCTTCCAGCCAGCTGTGCGCTTGTTGTGCTCTTCGTAAACTTCGTTGTGTGTGGACTGCTAGATTTCTCACGGATGAGACACTTGGCATGGTAGGTAGCGTATTCATGCGGTTTTTCTGTGACTAGGCCTAGGCTAATTACAGAGATAGATCTAGATCTAGATTAGATTAGATAACTTCTAGATCTAGTTGACTTGAACTAGATCTATTATTAACTATAGTTTAAGTTTACCTGAATGTAGACTTGTCTGGTGTGTACTACTAACTAATCTTGTACTGCTGACTGTAACATGATACAATATTATAGGCCCCTCTTGACTCTTGGAATAGTGACAACTAGATCTAGATATATTCTAGATTCTAGATGTAATATAATTAATCTAAGAATTTTGGCTGGACCCAGGCCTGTACAGGAGACAATAAAATAAATCTCCGAGTCCGATCTCTTATATGTGAATACGTGAATTGTTTCATTACATTGTTCTACTTATGGCAGCATGTATTTTGATGGTATTCTTTTAACAATTCTTTATTTTCTCTCCAACAGATAATTGTGGTGCACTGAGCAGTAACTACTATATATTCCTTGTGAGAAGTGATCAACGGTCGACATGTTTGTGCTCCATACGCTTATTTCTTTGGCTTTTTTGGCTACTGCAACATTTTCATTCACCACCGAAGCACTGCGACCTTGCCATTTGGTAAGGATTTGTAAATCATACGTGTACCGTTTACTTGATATTTAATTTAAAATATTCCCGTGGTCTCGATTCCAATGCCTGAGATTTGAATGCCATTTACTGTTTGTACTGTATTATTAAAAATCAAGAAATTGGCATTTTACCCGCAGGTTTTGGGAATTTTCGTTTTTTGATTCAACACCTTTCATGCCCATTGAATAATAAAGAGCACATTTCTGTGTGGATTTTTACTGAAAAACGTTGATTAAAAGCACAAGAAATGTAAATTTTCAGTTTCCATATATATATAGTCTCTCAAGCTAAAGAAACAACTCAACTTTGGCGACCATTTTTCGCTAATTTTACTTTTGAAACTAGATGACCATCACCTCCTCCAGTCACATTTATCTCGACTTTTATTCAACATTATAGCTTTTCACCCAAAACAAGGAAAATGGACAGGGCTTAATTTAAGATGATACCATCAAGTCCATATTATAGGTCTTCCCAAAAATTGACGAGAGCCTGATTCCACCGCTTTGTGCCACGTTTAATAATTTGTCTATCATGAACTCATGTTGACCTATTTTTTTAAATATTGATTATTTATAATCTAATGTTTTGAAGTACAGTCGAACCTGCCCTGACGGCCACCTCTATAAGACAGCCACCTGTACAAATGGCCACTTTCCATTTCCCCCCTTGCGTTTTTTCTTATAACTGTGGAAAACGGGCACCTTTCCAACACGGCCGGGGCCACCACATTTTAACACACAACCCCTATCACACCAAGCAATCTCTCTTAGACGGCCACCTTAGTGACTCCATTACGTTTTGTCATAAATTGTCCTTTGCCCATGGCGTTTTTGGCGAGCCGGCATAATCCAATCACCTGTTTGTTGTTTGGGGTCCCTCCAACCAATCATGTTGCGTAGGCCCCTCTCACTGTTGACCAATAGGTAGGTAACAAACTTTCAGCTGCTAGTGTGATCTCTCATAACCTATGAGCGCCGCCCACAACTCGAACACAAATCGTATGGGAGAGGAGTGGTCACTGTTTACCCTGTCTGTAACAAAGTAATAATGGACGTCAACATGAACTTGTGACAGACGCGTCGCTCAGTCTCCGAGTGGTGGCGACCCATGTGTTTGTTTTACCATAGCACTCGGTTCTCCTTGTCTGACACATTATGTTTTATGGTCACCCTTGCACAAAAGCAGCAACAAAAGAAAAAAAAGAAGAAAAAAAAAAAAAGAAAAAACAACAACAACAACAACAAGTTACAATGCAGCCATCTTCGGTTGGGACCTCAGAAAAGAAGGGTTTGTTTCCTTCATCTTGGTCTGTCCTGCCTAAGACGGCCACCTGTCTTATACCTCCACTTTTCTCCTTGACAATGGGTGGCCATCTTACACAGGTTCAACTGTATTTTTAAAAATAATTAGGTTTGGTTTAAAGAGAGACCTGTTTTAATGCTGAAAGTGCTTTGAAAATTTACCCACTTTCAGTGGCTACAAACACATTCTAACTTTTTAGTGGATAAATATTTTCGTGCCGATCCACTTGACTGTCTACCAGGATGTGGTCTATGATAGGTCCTGCCTGACTGACTACAGTACGTGTACCTGATAGTCTTCCGCAATTATATAAAATAATGCTTTCTGCCACTCCACTGCCATGGCAGGGTAATCTTTATCATTCTTGTCTTTTACTACCGCACATCATCTTCATCGTCATTGGCCTCTTTCACCCTGGTATTGGTTATATAGGCCTCCATTATAATGGACTCTTCACCCATCTGTGTTCTTTGCAATCTTCTCCATCTCCAGCCAGCTGTTTCCCATGCCTGAGACCTGCAGATCTAGATCTTGCTCCCAGGTGGATTTCGGCCTTCCACTCTTTCTCCTCCCTTGGGGGTTCCATCTTACCCTTTGTCATGTCTCATTGCTTTGTGTGTCTAGCTTTGTCTTCTTCTCTTTTCTCCCCTATTATTATTTTGTTCATATATTTGCTCTTTAGAGATCCACTCTTTGTGCCCTCTCTCTCTGAATCCTATTCTCCCACACCCTGAATCACTATTTTCAAGAAATCAGGGGAGCCACAAACCCCCCCCCCCCCCCCCCCCCCAATCATCACCACCACACCATCACCACCACAATCCCCTCACTACAGATCTCCAAAACATTTTAACAAGGCCAGTGACAGTCCCAAGCCTGTATAAATACTGAGGGAAGATGTTTTGTATTGTGGCTTTTATTACATACATATAGCTAGTGAAAAACAACAGATGGAAAAAAAAGATGCACTGAATGACGACCGAGAACAGGGAAAAGATCAAGAGGAAGACCAGAAAGAAGGTGACAAGATGACATCAGAGAGCAGACTGATACAACATGGAGATGGAAATCAGCTGTTAAAACAAAAAAATGGAGGTTGTTGTTGGAGGGCTACATCCTGCAGTGGATGGACTATGCCTAGAAAAGAAAGAAATCTATGTAATGTGTAGACTAATCGACCATCAAATGGAACAGTTATTAGACTGAAGACTGGTCTGGGAGCACGGTAGACCATCAATAGAACAGAAACATCGCAGTAGCCGTCACTAGAACAGAAACATCGCAGTAGACCCTCAGTAGAGTAGAAACATCATGGCAGACTGTCATAGAACAGAAAATCACAGTACACAGTCAATACAATGGTAACATCGCAGTAGACTATCAATCAATATAACAGAAACATTGTGGAAGACGGGCATAAATATTTCCATATATTACTAAACTTAACTTTAATGAAGTAGGCCTACAATGGAAACTGTCTTTAAAGACAGCCATCCATTGTCGAGGAAAACAGGCCGTCTTAGACAGGTTGAGGTCTTACACAGTGTCATATATGTGAACAATAACCGCAAAGTGGGGAGGGGGGGACTCGGGAAGTGGCTGTTTGTACAGTTGATTGTCTTGTAAACAGGCGGCCTTTAGTACAGATTTGACTAGCTGCTTCCTGATCAGATGGTCTCTTTTGACTTTCTTATAAAAATCTATTGCACTCTACTCATTTTTCTTCCAGGATGACTTTAAATATGAATACACAGAATGTGACAGTGATGGAGGCCGGTGGAGAGTCTCTGTTCCAAAGGAACCTGGCCTCTGTCAACCTGGAAATTCCCCATCTGTTCCAGAGAGAGGAAAGGAATGTAGTAAGTAATTCTGTTCCTTTGGCTATCTGCTCCTAGCAGTTCTAGGTCCTACTTTCATATTCTCTGTTCCTTTTTTCATTTCTTATTCGTAAATAATTCTGATAGATTTCGTCTCCACATTTTATGGTCTTTTGCATGCATCTTTACAAATGATCTTTAAAATAGCAGTATGCAGCTCTTTCAGAAATGTAAAGGTAGAGGATGTAGATTGCCCAAGGGCTACTATTCTTCTTCCAGATCTTGACTTCCCTAATATGCTCCAAAGGAGGAGAAACATGATGTTTATTGGAAGAATCAAGGAAGGTGTTAGGGATGTCTTACTGCTCTGCACATCTCCACATAAGAGTGTGTCTCCTTATTTGCAATGCGACGTCGTGTCAGGCACAGTTATTGCCGCCCCAAAATCAGTCAAGAAAGATTATAAGGAACTCGTCTCTTTATGCGCTTGGCGACGTCTTGCCGCGCATGACTGTAGTCAGTGATCAGTCCATGTAGCAATACTGACCTTGTCGCGTACAAGGAGACATAGGCTAACGCTTGCATGATTTTGATAAGTTATTCCTCCTCGCCCAAATTGAAAAAGCTCTCACTCAGCTGCTTGCACATGCCACCGTCATTGCAATTTGTCTTGTATCTGGTCTACTCTCTCTCTCTCTCTCTTCCCCCCGCCCCCTTCAATCCCTCTGCCTGTTTTTTTCTTTTGCTCTCTGCCAATTTCCTCTTCTCATGAAACACACACACACATGTGCACACACACAGACACACATGCATACACATATATATATATATATATATATATATACAAACACTCACACATGCATATACTCACACAAACACACACACACACACTCACACATGTATGTGCACAGGTACACACTCCCCCTGATCGCTTCCTGCTATTTTTACATCTGAATATCACATTAATCTACTGGGAAACGTGTTCCTGAAAATGAATCAAGGTGTATGCTCTCGCACGTATGCCCTATATACACTTCTACATGCACTCTTTTGTTTCTTTAATTGTTCGTTAAAGTGTGAATTTTTGTGAAAAGAAAAATGATTAATTCTTGGTTGGCCACTATTTCGTTAAAACTATAATTTAGAAGAAAATCTTACAGATTTGCAGTTTTCATTGTTTCTTTTTAAAAAAGGAGGAATTGCTGTAAAGTTTGTTTCTGAACTTGGGCAGTTGAATGAAATTTTTTGATGAAGGCATTTTGAAGTTCTAATTTCAAATGTCTATTTGCAGAATCGGGTTGGGTCAGGTCGATTACTGGTTGCCTCAGCGTACACACTCTGAATAGACACTTCACTTGTTGTGTCAAATCAAATTTGACCCAGAAGGTAAAGAAGAGATAACTTTGACTGACATCCGGTGTTACTGTAAGCAAAACTTACTGTTCACAACTCAGTCATTTCCTTCAACAGTGGCTTCAAGCGCTGTCCGCCGCACATCACGGTAGCTGTGTTTAGAGGTTCTTGAATCCCACAGACAGTTTATCAGCCGATAAAAATCTACACTGTCCTTTACAGCATGGGTTATGGCTGGTTTGACTTTAAAAAACAAATAATTTTGAAGGTCACAATCGAATTCAGTTGAATTTGGTCAAATTGTGCCAAAATGGTAGTTTGTAACCACACCATGGAGGAAAATCTTACGCTGGCTCTGACTGAATTAAATGAAACAAATTGGCAGTTTGCACTAGGTATTACCTCCGTTGGGCTTATTGTATTCAAGGCTACACCAAACTCCTGAAATCTCACTGGTTTTGAACTTGTTTCCTGTGTATTATATTTTTACTGGTTGTCTTATGACTTTGATCATCTTCGAAAAACTTGAATTGAACTGGAGAGTTTTTGGCAGTAGTGCTTATCATTTTGGGAAATGTGGCTATTGTCATGTTGGCAAATGAAAATCACTATTAGCAAAACTTTTTTCTAAATGCTCAAGAGAGGTGGAAAGGCATATTAGTCAGTTTTAGGTGGACAAAATAAATCCAAAGGAAAGTACAGGAGCTGATCTGACAACTAGAGCGTTTAGAAAAAAGTTTTGCTAATAGTGATTTTCATTTGCTTAATAAAAGGTATTTTAATCGTCCTCGCTCGGCCCATATTCCACTACGGTGTCCTACGTTTAAGTTTATTTTCCCTTTTTCAGATTTCGCGTGCAACACTGGAGAGTACTTGGATATTCAAGGAGACCAACAGTGCCACTCATGCCCACCAGGCACATACTCCCTCGGGGGAGGGATTCGATTTGATGATTGGCAGACTCTGCCCCCAGGTTTCGCTGTGAAGACGGAACATGTGTCTCACACGAGCTGGGGGAGCAGATTTAAACACAAAGGGAACTGCTCCAGGTTAGTATTTCAGTGTAAACATCTTTTTGCCTACCTCTGCTGTGGCATGTTGTTTTATCAGAAGTTAGTGAATATTTTCGTTGTATTAACTCTTTAATTCCGGAAGTGGCGTTTTTTTTTTCTTTCTTTTTTTTGGTGTTTTAGTAGATTGTCACTTCAGTAGTGGGTTTTTTAGTGGGTTTGTTTGTTTTTTTGGGGGGAGGGGGGGGTGTTACAGTTTTCATCAATCCCAGTAGGTATCTACAACTGGTCTTGTGCTATATTCACTACCTATTTTTATCCAATATTGTTATTCTCTGTCCAGTTGCGAACAGCTTGAGTCCTTACTCTAACAAATCCATCAATATTCGACTGAATTATATTTGTTTTATTTAAAGTAACGTCCTTTCCCATCTCAAACTGGGTGCGTAAAATTGTGGCACCCCTTGCATATTAAAAGAGTTGATAGCACTCTAATTCACTCACGCAGGCATGCACACACACACACACACACACACACACACACGCACAGACAGACAAGAGCTCATAAAAACCCCACATTTTCATACTTGGTACTACTGCTGAACGAATGGAGACATCTTCACTTGTAATTGCGTGGCTACTTATGTACTCTCTCTCTCTCTCTCTCTCTCTCTCTCTCTCTCTA